TTGCTTAGCAACTCAGCAACATAGATTGTTATGATCGGCGCTGACAATTACAATTCCCTATGTATACAGCAAGAAGTAGGAAATCTTCTTTTTCTAGATTTCATTAATTAACTGATTTTATTCTGGACTTGCTCTGCTGTATACCAACACCAATTGATCCGGCAACACTTGGCTCATTATGGTAGATGAAAGGTGGCTAGTCATCATGTAATGGCGAGACATTATTGAATCAGAGTCTAAGCAGAATGCCTGAGGATAAAGTTCACGGAACAGGTTTTTCGGCTCACCCTTAACACTTGCACTTATATGGTGAGACTAGATAATGCGCCAACTGGAATTGATATGGTTGAGGTCACAGTTTGAGTTATGATGGGAAATTACAACAGTCTTGGTTGAATTATATTAGATAGTTATTTGTACTTAAGGAAGCTGGAGCTACAACTAAGTATTGAAAGGCTGAGGGCGATAGATAGGGAGACGTCACCTTGTGAATAGAATACTGATAGGTATGGGAGAATTCAATAGATCACTTCGACAGAGTAAGATGATTGATTGATGGTGAATTGTATTTGTGGATGATTGATGTTTAAATACTGAGAGTAAAAAGGGCCTATCTATATACAGGAGTTCCTACCCTTATTCCTCTACATGGTATTGTCTATGATAGCTAGAGTAACTACAATGGTTTCCTCATTGTAGTGAACACGTTGATGTTAGAGTGTAGGGACCAGGAGGCAATAGTGATCAGATTCTAAGGGGTTAACTTTGCTGGTGCACAGTTATCTCCTGAAGGTGTGTGCAGTTATGAACTCAGATTTTTACAACACTAAGTAGTTCTCCAGCTCCACAATCTTATAATAGTATTACAGTATTCCTCTCGCAAACCCGCTTCCCTCTAGCCTTAGTACTTCGTCGACTTTCCATCTCTATAGTATTCACCACTTGACCTTTCCATACCCTCGGCAAACGGCGATCTCGATCTACCCTACAGTTTGCCGTAACACATCACTAAGTTTGACAGGTAAATAAGGCTAACCGGAATTTCTCCCTTTGATGTATATATAACTCCAATATTCCCATAGTTGTAAAATATCAAGTCTTACTACTTTATCACATATATCTGTATAATATAGTACAAAGTATATTTTCCTACAATGAGTGCTCTAATTACAATGTAGTCATCTATTATGTAATTTTCTCTGATATTGAGTGTGTTATTGAGTTTATTGTACTACTTGAGTCTGTGACTGTAACAGTTGTTAAGCCTAGTGATTCCTGTAGCCTACGCTGGCTAGCGCAGGCAATGAATGCAAGGGAATCTTTGGGGAGGATCTCGGAATACAAGGAGCATAGAAGATTCTCAATGAACCTTTTGGAAGCACACTGAAGGTTCATGAGGACAACAGGTATATCAAGAATCTTCTATGGTATTGTCGAGAAGTCCATGTTATTCTAGATATAGGGAGAACCTTACAGAAGAGGAGTATCTTAGAGTATATATATTTGTATGCTATCTATAGGAATTCTCTCTCTAGAGAATTATAATTAATACACTTTACTTACAAGATAGCCCAAGCGTTTTGTACTGAAACCGTGACAATACCTATTGTTCACATACTCATCTCTTCTCTAAAGAAGACCGCCGTTATGGTATAAAGCTTATTACTCACTATACCTTTACCTCTTCTGTGAACCATAAAGCCTACGCTGACTTTAGACCTCTTCATCATATGAATCACCACTATACTCCACGCCTATACCCAACTTGTACCCTACTCGTACCCTACGGAATACCGATAACACAGTGCCTTGAGACTTTGTTACTCAATCTCGACTCTGCAGACTCTACAGTGAGAGCTGGAGGTTCGTGGGGGACACCACTGACAGGTGTTAAGAGTTTTCACCCTCTGATATTGTGTCATAGCTAGATAGCTGCATATGCAATAAAAATCTGATGCAAAACAAAAGAGACGGACAGTTTTGGGGGGTTTTACCGAACTGGTCTCGTAGGACGAAACTCAAGATCTGTTAGTGGTGCTTCCTACTAGCCTCCAGCTCTCACTGTAGAGTCTACAGAGCCGAGATTGAGTAACACCTTTTCAACTTTAGGCTGAGTTATCTCCTCCTCCGTCAAAGATACGCTTCCGATATCACACAAGACGACCATACTGATGCTGGTAATGATGAAAGATAATGCGGTACCTAATACTATAAGGGTGGTGAGAGAAGCCCTCGTTATATCACAACATGTGCTACCCAATGGCGGGCGAACAAAAAGCCCGCGAAGCAAAAGACCTTTCCGCGCTCAAAAAAAGCAGATTTCGACTCGTCAACAATATCGTCCCTTCTAATTTATACTTCTGAAACTACTAGCCAGGAGAGCTTCTGAAGTACATGAGTTACTCGATGACTCCATATCCGTAACTACTTTTGGACGCTAGGCTAGGCTCCTTCACGATAGCTACTCTCGACCAAGACTTTTCTAACATGATTTCACGGCCTTCGGTTTGTCCTGCGGCATGAATCAGCGGAGGAGTAAGGGGGAGGCTAGAAAGGTTTAGAGACGCTCTTATGTATATACAGGTATCAAACTGTGGATAGTTTGAAGGCGATTAATGTCAGATATAAAGTTTAAGGAGTAAGGTTTACAAAGCTTGGAGTTACTTGTTTCGAAAAAAGGTATTTCGCTTGGGCTGTAGCAATAAGAACTCTGTCTGTTCTGACTAGAGATGTTTCGTTCCAAACCATGAGAAGCTTGGTCTATGGGGACAAGTTGGGGACACATAGAGCATTTGCCATTTTCTAGACGTACATAATCTAGATAGTATCAGTAAGAGAAATGGCAGCCAGGAATTGATTGACACTTTTTACTTTTACTTCATACATTTTTCAATTGACTCGTAGAGTCTAACAACAGGTCAGCTGCGCCCGGCTGGCCGTACTCTCCTTCACAGGAGAGCCCCGCATCCGATGATTTTTGAGACTTTTCCCTGCAGCTCCACACCCGCAAATGGCCATTGTCTCGTTGGCTGGAGAGGGAAGATAATGGCAGGATAACCACTCTAGTGTGTACTCGAATGAAGACCCGAGGGGCTATTACTGCTGGAAAGAAGTCGTAGAGGAAGCATAGGAGGGATTACACTACCAGAGGCATAGACATTTCCGGCCTATAGGTAGAAAGTACCTACATGTCCTTACATAGTTATAGACTCATCAGGACAATAAAAATTCTCTCACCCACCGAATTGATGTTTTTCGGATTAGGTTCTGATCAACGATGTCTTGCCTAACTGTCCTATGTTGCAGGCTACTGTTCCAATTATTCATGGGGTCGTCATCAGGGTTGTGAGTAGTTTCGGTTTTCGTGTGGGTTAATAGATTGATACCTGAGTGTGTCGCATAGTAGTCAGACATGCGACTCGAGTAGCATTTGCAAAGTAAACCTCAACCACGAACTGATGATATGAATCAATTTTTATATGCTACGTCCTGTATGGCTAGCGTGGTTGGAATATGGGGAATTTACCTGTAGATAGATAACGATGTTGTAGCCCTTTGATGAATGGGACAAGTCTTCTATTAAACATTATCGGACTCAATCCTAGCCTCTCAACAAGCAATCTCATGAAATATTTCCAATTTCTGTGATAACAAGCGTACAGATACAAATTTCACATCAAGTTTAAAGTTCGATAATGTTTACCCCCTGTAAATATGATAGCTATATATACCTATATGGCCGAAAGAGTAAGTGAACGGGCTAAATGAAATGAAATGGATTCAAACTGATCAATATACGTTGCCATCTACAGACTTTACATCATTGAGAGAAACTGGAGAATACAACTCAAAAAGTGCGCTCAGGCGATTCGAAGCGACATGGTGGTTAAAATTCATGTCAGTGGTGTTCCTGGTCAACAGAAATCGCCAGAAAGGCAATAATTAGAAATCACAGTATATTCCGTCAGGATAAGCTCATAAGAGCAGAACCTTCTTTACACTAGAAATCTTTTTAGACAAATCTTCCCAACCAATTCCTACTATCTCTGTTCTAGTTGGTATATTTTTGCTTCGAGTGTTGTCTGTTGTTATATATGTTGCCCTCAACCACTTAGTAGATTTGGTATTTCGAGTCAAGGTAACATCTGAGTGAGGTCTAAACATGATTCGAGGGTACATGGCTGAATATTTATCATCGTATATTCTTATAATAAATGTATCACAGTTATAGATAGAGTAGACAAAATAGCTATGTGTTTATCCCGAGGTACATTGTTATCCTATCAGATACTGAGACACGGTGTATCCGATACCGAGCTTCAGTTATTGAAAAAATTCTTCCGATGATTTAGTTTTCAACTTGTTATATTTTCTTAACTTTCGTAAGTACATTACGGTATGTCGATGATTTTTCTTAGAGAGAATTCTAAGCGATGTTTGGGGTGCAGTGTGGAGAGTATTTTGTATCATCTTTTACAATGCGATAAAATAACACTGCACCACCCTAAATTGGAACTAGGGAGGAGTTCGAGACGCCTAGGAACGATTGCCTAGAGGACGAAACTCGGTGGGTTAATTAAATAACGACGGTCAGAGGCGGTGTAATGCGTCATACTCATCGATGGAGCATGAAATGGGAGAGCCGAAGTGTGATATAAATAGCCATTTCCCTTAGTTGTGTTACTTCTCTCTTCTTATAGTTTAATCTGTCTTAAATTACATTGAGACTAGATTAATATCGCCATATCGGTTTAACCATGAAATTAAGAGCATAAAATTGCTAATTAGTAATATATTTTTTTCTCTTTCAAGCTAAAGCTGATTTATTCTTGATGATTGTTTATAGCTATGCATGCTAGAAACGGGAATTAGCTGAAGAACGATTGAGGTGGTTCGTCAGTAGTATTACTTGCGGAAGCCTCTTGAAGCGAAGTGTGAGATATACATTCATCAAAAGGTTAGACCTTGATCTCAAGCTAAAACCAATCCTAAAATAGTTTCTAGTTCTTGCCGAGATTGAAATCGTCTGGCTTGTAGTGGTCAGCTACAATCCTGTAGAGGTAAGACGGCGCATGAGCCCCCCTAGTTTCTTCTATTAGCTGGCTCAAGATTTTTGCTGGATGACATTTTGCTTACAGATTTGTGATATAGAGATCCACAAGGTCTGGTGGCACGTAGTCGTAAAGAGGATTATCTACTTCCAACTCCTCGACCGAGATTCCGTCTGCGTATGGTACAATGCTACCAGGATCACCATATTCAATGAGAGACTCAAACTCGTATGGATATTCAGGGCTAAGTTTGTAAACACCGCTTACCACTATCACCGGTGTTCTATGAACTTTTGCTGCCCTTGCAATCATTCTTGCACCGGCAGCTGCAATCAAACCTCCATTTGCAATAACCGCATGGGTTGCCAAAATGACCTTGTTGACACGAGACATTATGGCGAATATAGATGCATCTGTAATTAGGATAACAGTAATACCAGCCGCAGAAAGAGGGGTTCGAAAGTCTGCGGTGACCATTTCTTCGTCATCATCGATATTATCATGGGATCTGCCCATAACAACTGAGTGAGTGGCGTTGTGTTCATTGGGATAAGATTCCGTTACTATTACGGTGAATTTCCGCTTTTCAGCTGCCTTGAGTAGAAATTTTTGTACGCTTAACGAAGAAGAATGCGTGAGAATCACTTCATTTGAGTGTATGTGCTCCTGTGCGTAGGCCGCCACCTGGTCACTAACCTGATCAAGCTCGTCAATAATCTCCTCGATACCACTGATAATCTCTGCCTTGAGGTCTCTGGTAGTTGATGCAATTCTTTTTGCCAAAGATGAAGCGTTTACGCTGGATTTATGTGGGATATTTGTTCCGGGAGGTGTTGCGTTTGGAGAGGGCTGAGCAGAAAGTAAGTTGAACATTGATTGCTGCACAGTAACACCATTCGAGAGCGCATAAGGTGTATGCAATGTTGTTAAAAGTGATCTGGATAATTTGGCCGATTCCCTAAATCGGGTACTCTGGACATCATCGCTATTCGTTTCACTAAACTCTGCATCATCAATAGGACCATGACGTAAATTAGACACATTTGAGTGCGCAATCTCCGAATATGAAGATGCAAATTTGTTAGGCTTCCACTTAGGCGAACTTGTCAAGCTGTTCGATGTTGAATCTGAGCCGCATTCCAATGGATCTTGTTTTTCTTCGTCCCTTATCATATCTAGAACGCGACGAACAATGTTCCCGACGGCAATTTCCCGTGGCTGAGCATCGACGAGTCTTTGGCCAATTTCTCTTATTCGTATCAAGAGCTTCCCAATGTCTGACCATCGGAATTTTGCGACGGCTCGAAGTAGTAGATGAGATGTTGCTATAGCGCATGGTCTAGAATTATATATTTGGCGTCGCTTTAGAAGTCTTGATAAAGTTAGCATATTGCAAAAGCCATGCCGAGCTGCTGACATACGAGATCAAGTTTTCAATAGATGATTCAAGAGTCGAGCTTTTAAGTGACCTGAGGAATACCCTTAGGTCGAGTGTGCGATCAGTGTTAGTGGTAGACATTTTGTAACATGGAATTGCTGTGAAATTTGGTTATATTAGATGTGATTAAGTGTGCGGCGGTTAACTAATCTAATCAAAGCTTCCCCCGCGATGGTACGGATATTCAATTATCCGATCAAATCTCACATACAGAAACCTGATAACGCAATTCGACGCCGATACCACCCGGAAATATCACAATCCGGGTAGTTAATTCTCTCTATGCATTCAGCGGCTAATAGAAAATCGTAGTATTACTCACAAGATTGAGCATATCTATCGCAGTTTCTTTTAGTATTCGTGTTATTAAAATACTTAAGAAGCTGCGCAAGAAACAGTACACCACTGGTATTTCAATCATTTAAGGAAGACTAAATTTGATGATTTAAAATAGAAGAGATAAATTCTGAGTTTCTAAACAAATCGAAGTATCAGGATCTTGCAATCTTTGAAGGAGCTTAACATCGATCGAAAATCGAGAACATCCTCCATGGCTTTGATAGCACGATGAACTCTCTGAATCTTCTTTCAGGGCGAGCAGCGACTCCTAAAGCTCCTAGGTCACTGCGCAGAAGTTCATACGGAAATATATTTTCACCTGCAACCGTCGCTGAGTCAAATGAAGATCCGAGGGAGACGCTACTCAATGAAAAGTCGGCGGACCTCAATCTAGATATCAGCATATATAACATCGATGGGTCCGTTATAACCCCCCTAGCTTTACGCACGCAAAGCAACCCTGTCAATGGAGAACCTCGGTGGCTAGCAGTATTTAAACGAACTTCATTCGCGCTCGCAGAATATATTAAATGGATTCTGACCGCAATACCAACTCCATGTACTTATATAAAAAATATTCTATGTGACGAAAATGGTCAATTCGCCCCTCTTTCTCAAATTGGCAAGCTTTGCACAGCTCTTTATAGAACTCCAAGGCAAACATCTACTACTCAAGTACTCGGACTATCTACTTATGAGGTAGACAGATCTTTACCACATGGTCAAAACTTTCAGAAAACCATACCAAGAAAAGAAGAGATTACTTCTGCAGCTCCGAAAGCTCCATGCACCTACTCTACGGAGGTACCTGAGTCCGATTTAGATCGAAAAGGTCAACTTATACCCCCTTCACATTACAAGAAGCTCAATTCAATAAATTACAGCGATAATATTTCTCCTGCAAAATACTTGAATCATAACAGACATCAAGACCAAACTAATTTACGCTCAAGAAAACTTGGACCAACGGGCTCTACTTCGCAAGAAACCCATTACTCGGGCTCAATAGAAGCTAGCGACATCCCCAATGTATTGCAAAAAGCCTCTACATCACCAAATTTATTACCCGTGACTAGATTCTCCTATTCTCCACCACCCCCGCGGCCCCTATTACCCCGAAGCCTACCATCGTACTCTCAATCAAACGGAAGGTTAGCACAAAAAACCTTAGTATTGGACCTAGATGAAACTCTTATTCACAGTATGGCTAAAGGTGGAAGGATGAGTACCGGGCATATGGTAGAAGTAAAGCTCAGTACAATTATCGGGGCTCGATGTGGTACAACACCAGGACCCCAGCATCCAATTTTGTACTGGGTAAATAAGAGACCACATTGCGATGAATTTCTGCGACTAGTAAGTATCAATACTGTGCGCAGGCATGTAGCTTAACCATAAATAGGTGTACAAGTGGTATAATCTTGTGATTTTTACAGCATCGGTACAAGAATACGCCGACCCTGTGATAGACTTATTGGAACAAGAACGTAAGGTCTTTTCGAATAGATATTATCGTCAGCACTGCATACTCAAACATGGAGCCTTTGTCAAGGATCTAAGCCTTGTCGAACCAGATCTCAGCAAGGTCATGATATTAGATAATAGCCCACTGAGCTATATGTTTCACCAAGGTATGATAAATAGTTGTCAATTTCACCCTCTATTTCTAAATTGTTTTAGATAATGCCATCCCTATAGAAGGCTGGATAAATGATCCTACTGATAATAATCTTATGCACTTATTACCTCTCCTTGAAAGTTTACAACATGTGAAAGATGTGCGGGCTTTTCTTGCCCTTCGTGGTGGTGAGCGTGGAAGGAATACATAGAGAACTGGGAATCGAAATTTGAGTTTCCATTCTGTAAAAATTGTTTCTATAAATTTTGTAGTGAATGTTCCCTTAGCGCAAAATTATATCGAAGCCGGTAAGCATCAATGTAAGAGCGTACTCTAAATCCTGGGTGAAGTCACGACTTCGGCATCTTTCCCGCCAATTAGGCCTGCGAGCACCATTATTTCTTAGAAATGAAACTTTCATTATACTAAAACTACATCAATTTTGGTCTGCAAAGCGGCTGTCGAAAGTGGAGCTTTAGTAAGCCAAGTGATATTTAACGCCTCAATTAAAAACTTCTTAACATAATACATGAACAGAAAATAACTCAATAGAGGTCCAAACGAGTCTTCTACCATGAATGATTGATGAAAGCCGTGTGAAACTGTGAAATATACAGTCGTTTATACATGTTTTATCAAAGAAATAATGACCCATTACTCATGGGATTGTAGAGCGTATTCATCCAAGCAATTACCGAATTGAAAAACTTACATATCCTTGTATGTGTGAAGGGCTAGGACTTTCGGCCAATGCACTGAAGCAATGCCACAATTAAGTGTTTATATTTTCTGTGTAGGAAATAAGAGCGGGAAGCAACGGTGCTTCATAGCTATAATGCCAGTTCCAGATTCCCTAGTCCTTGTGATCTATTAATACTCTCGGATAGTAATTAGATTTAAAAACTCGCTTGCCTTCGGAATGTTTGTTTTTTGCATCAGATTTTAATTTCGTATGCAGCTATCTAGCTATGACACAATATCAGAGAACTGTTTAATTGATGACTCAATTTAAAGGAAGAGCACTCGTGGCTCGTATTTCATTTGCAAGTACCACTGCGAAGTTATGATGGCTTTTTCTTCACCCCAAGTCAACCATCATCCGTGAATACCCACCCAAGAGAAGGTCTCAAAAACCATGAGTTATCAATACATGCCTACATCTTCCATTTTCTTTTTTTCCGCGCAAAATGGGATCTAAAGTGTCTCCTTCCTAGGTGGAGTAGGTACCCAGGCTACTCAAACTATACCGGAGAACACTACCAGGAGGCGGACCACAACACCTTCCATCGTCTGCTTATTTTTATAGTGTCAGCTGCACTCTCGCAAGACAAGTCTTGGCGCGCACAAAGCTCTATTCGTAAAACTCTTGCCAAAATTCAGAATTTCACGCCCCTCGAGATAGTATCCATCCTCTGCATCATCTTATCAACTTGTCCTGATCCCTCTCACGCCTATTTCAAAGAACTGTCTCCCAGGCTTGTTTCCTCCGATGGGTAAATATATCGGCACGGGCGTGTTTTTGGTGGCCAGGTTAGGCCAGAGAATAGTCCACGAGAGGTGTGGTCATTGGGACGAGGATGTACTAGGTCGTACTTGTAGATTTGATAAGACTTAGGTGAGCGTCAAACTCGTTGGGAGCGAAAAAACGACGCGGTGGAGTAATTTGAAATTTTGCCTCGTGGTCCAACTTCTTTGATATTCCGAAATTTGACTGAACTTGGCTCTGGGAGAATATTTCACTCCCAGGTTCGTAGAGACACCGAGCACAGGTGTTCAGTCTTGCCCACCCTTCGGGAAGTTTACATAGACTGAGCTGGCCTGCACAATAACCTAGGGTTGACTTGTGAGCTAGAACGACGACATGTAAGAAGACAAAAAGGCCAGACTCGCTTGCGCTCACGAGATAAGGGTAGGCAAAAAACATTATTTTTGCCTGATAGCTGCGCAGACTTCCACGCCGCCCATATCAACTATTTGACATTGTAACCATCATTTTTCGCCTTTTCGCTTTCCGTGCTCCACAATGGCGAGTGTGGGTGCTGGTGTGGGTAAATGCAGTAGTTTCGACGAGTCGCAAAATGCGACAATGGCCTCAAAACAACGGCAGCGGAGCGCAAAAAGCTCCCAAGGATAGAAACCTCGAAATCATGGGAAACTTCTAAAACAGGTTCGACAGATTGTCATGGGAGAGATGGATGATGAGGAACAACTATCTATAGTGGATGTTAAAGAAGCCGTGAAGACATTCAATGCTCTCAAACGGGCCTGGAATAAAATGACCCAGAAGACTTCTCCAATCGAGGAGAGAATGATGTCGCTGATGAACTGCAGCCAGAAGAGCTGCTTTCAAAAGCCAAAAAAAACATCGATGGCGCATACGCAATTCGACAAATGTGGAGCAACGACACCGAGGTGTTCGTCCCGTCGACGTATCAGGGAGACGCGGCGCTTAACATGCGATAACCAGCGGAATTTAAAATCTTGCGGCAAGAATTTCCAGTCGAGGTTTCCGGAGTCCCACTGAGGACAAGAAATTGAAGTGGCTGGGATGCCAACAACTAACCCATCATCAGGTAGATTTTTTTTTTAAATCATTTAATGTGTATTCAACTATCTAGCTAGGACACATGACCGGTGCTATGTATACATGTAGGATGACTCTTTTGACGTTAGAAACACTCATACTCTGGATTTCATTCGCAAATACCACTATGAATGTGCTAGATAGTCTAAGACTCAAGTAGTACAATAAAAACACAAAAACACACAATTTTTTGAAATTCGAATTTTCGAATGTCCCCATTTTCCCCCTCTCCCTCCCTTTCGCGCTCGTCGCATTCATCAGAAAATTGTGATCTCATTGACAAGCTCCCGACCTTCGGAATGGCACTGGGGCAACCCAAAAAATCGCGTGAAGATCGTGTTATCGACGCCCTCGAAAGTGCGCACAAGAAAGTGATCAAACGTATGATCGACAAGAATTTGACAGTAAAAAATATCGACTATGGAAAAATGGATATAGAGCTTATTGAGAGGATCAATGCCTTCGAAGAAAATACTAGCTCTAGCAATCCAGACATCGAAATGTCCGTTAGAACAATCGACATTTATATCCGAGAGGGCCTCAGTAGCTCTAGGTGGAACGTAGAAGACTCGGAAGACAGCCAAGACAGAGTCATCCCTGCCATTACAACCAGAAAGATTGCTGTCCCTGCTATTAGGCGGGCAGCGACCGCACAAACAAGTAAGGAAACAAGCGCCGCATGTCCCAAAAATCCCCCTGAGGGTACATCAAGGATTACAGAGGAGAGTATTGCTTCTCGCAGCGAAAATAACCCCAAGCTGACAGAAGAATATCCCTCCGAACTTAGGGCCTTAATCGAAGCCGAAGAACGCCGGACTGCTAAAACAGCAGAAAATGTAAAGATCTGCACTGCTGCGATAAACGGTGTCGAAAATGCTCTCTCCCCCCTATCCAATGGGACGAGTATTCAATTTATAGACTCCATGAAAGTCTAAATAAGAGCTGTAATAGCTCAATTCATGATATCGGGACCGGGTACAGTCCTCCCAGCACTTCCCTCGCGCCCTGAAACCCAGGCTACTGGCAGCAAGATTACAGAATGTGCCGCTTGAAAGCAAGATGAGCCACAAAGTAAAGGGACTCATGAAAAAGCCTCCTGGGCCAAATGTTAGACTCTACGAGTCAATTGAAAAATGTATGAAGTAAAAGTAAAAAGTGTCAATCAATTCCTGGCTGCCATTTCTCTTACTGATACTATCTAGATTATGTACGTCTAGAAAATGGCAAATGCTCTATGTGTCCCCAACTTGTCCCCATAGACCAAGCTTCTCATGGTTTGGAACGAAACATCTCTAGTCAGAACAGATAGAGTTCTTATTGCTACAGCCCAAGCGAAACACCTTTTTTCGAAACAAGTAACTCCAAGCTTTGTAAACCTAACTCCTTAAACTTTATATCTGACATTAATTGCCTTCAAACTATCCACAGTTTGATACCAAAACAACTTGGGCCTCAATCACCTGGAACGGTCTAAAGACCCCCCTGGCACCTACAAAAGTTGCGCAGGCTATGCCAAAAGCGACAAACTCGACGTCGCTGTCAAAAAACCCAACCGCCTCAACGCAATCAGCCATGAAAGATGAACGCTTGTTTCTTCGCCTTGGATATGAACACCCTTGGAGAAAGCTATCACCGTTTGGTGTTAGAGAGGCTGTGGCAAAACTGCTTGAAATTCCTCAAGCCAATATTGAGCAAGTATACCGTGTTCCAACTGGCTTCGCAATTAGAGCCGAAAACCAAGAGGCACACGCCATCATGTTAAGCCTAGCCGGGTCCCTCGTCCAGCAAGATGCCATGCTGGAAGAAGCATCGGACCTGGGCTCACTTAGAATCGCAACAGTCCCAGTTGCCATTAATACAATAATGGGTAGAGTCATTGTCACAGAAGAGATGGTGACAGACGAGATAGTCAGGGTCACCAAGGCTGTCACGGTAAAAGTTCGCCCACATGGGAAAAGCCGACTTGGAGCCCCATACCAGTCATGAGTAGCCCTTTTTGAAAAAGTAACAATCCCTCGACCAGGTTTCCGACTCTTTGACGACTCTGGGATTGCAGTTCGTCACCGGCCCTGACAAAGCATCAACCAGTGCAAACGATGCCTACAATTCGACGGCACTAGGGGCTGCTCGCGCGCCCCAGCCTGCTGGAATTGCTCTTCCACTATGCATTCCATTGTGGAGTGCAAAGCACACACCAAGTGCTGCAACTGCGGGGGTCCACACAGATCATATAGTCGGGACTGTTTGGCTCGTCCAACAAAGTCTGGAATGGCCTCCAAGGAAAACCTTCAGACCATAAGGCAGGCTAGCCAACGCGAATTCGCGGCAGTTACTCGGGCCAAAGCAGCTGTCAGACGCGTAGAGGCAGCTATGACAGCAGCAGCAGAAGCGTCAAATACTAACCAGCCAGGTTTTAAATCGAGCAACTGTTTTGAAGTTCTCATGACCGACGCTACAGCAACTGTAGCCGAGGTCGATGAGGCATCAAATCAGCAAAATTCTTTGTGAAGGGCACCCCTCGGGTCTCTTCGAGCCTCTCTCCTACTCCAAGATTTATGTCAATAAACGTAGGTAGAAGAGGCTCAACGCAAAACATTGCGCTTGCCCAAGCATTTGAGCTAGGTATC